TTGACTTTGAATATCAGTACATTTTATGGTATGGTAAAAACAGAAACAATCTTGGACAAACTTTCAATTGACAACTTATAACTTTCATTATTGCTGAGAAAAATGTTGTAAATGAACTAATGCGGAGTCCTTCATCCAAGTTTTGTAAGTTGTAGAGAGTAGTGGGAAATCTTTATGACAATATTGGTCTGCTTTGCATTGTCAGATCTTCATGACATACACTGTAGGTTGCTTGTTACATTGAAAGATCCACTGAATTAAATTGAAATGTTCTTGGTGTACTATGAATGTTTCACTTGTGTCTTAGAAGTGAATTTAAGGTCATACAATCATTCATTACACAAGTCAGTGATATAAGAATATTAAGAAGCTGTACTTTTTAAAAAAATACGAATGCCAGCTACCCTGTCAATATTTTTTATGTTGCCNGCACGTACGATTTTTTTCCCGAAGGGCACCCGCGAAGGTGGGAAGTAACCTTAAGCCACTTCCAAGAAGACTTAAAAGCCACTCCATGTTCTGCAGTATCCAATACTATGGGTTATTAATTTCTGGCATTATGGCTGCTTTCTATAGATGGGTCATGTAAATTGACTTTGAATATCAGTACATTTTATGGTATGGTAAAAACAGAAACAATCTTGGACAAACTTTCAATTGGCAACTTATAACCTTCATTATTGCTGAGAAAAATGTTGTAAATGAACTAATGCGGAGTCCTTCATCCAAGTTTTGCAAGTTGTAGAGAGTAGTGGGAAATCTTTATGACAATATTGGTCTGCTTTGCATTGCCAGATCTTCATGACATACACTGTAGGTTGCTTGTTACATTGAAAGATCCGCTGAATTAAATTGAAATGTTCTTGGTGTACTATGAATGTCTCACTTGTGTCTTAGAAGTGAATTTAAGGTCATACAATCATTCATTACACAAGTCAGTGATATAAGACAGTAAAATAAATATTAAGAAGCTGTACTTTTTAAAAAAATACGAATGCCAGCTACCCTGTCAATATTTTTTATGTTGCCCCTAAACAGTTTTTGCTGGTATACTCTATTTATACTGAGACTTGGCAGTCATGGGAACTGTAGGAGTAAAGTGTCCAAACCGAAAGCACGTCACTGTAAAACCTGTTGTCAGTGCTCAGACCAAGATGAAGTAGTGCCATGAAAATTGTGCCTCAGTTTGATTTCTTGTTTCATTTTGCCAGGCAGAGCTCAAATCTTGTTTTCCCGAGTCTTATCTTAACGGCATTAAACAGTTACGGTAAGCAATAGTAATAGACATTATTATGCGCTAACCATTTTCAATTCAGGTACCGGACAAAACTTACATGTATTTCATACATTGTATTTTCATTCCATCAGCCAGAGTGTTGTGTCTCGTCTTGGTCATTCACAGTAGCTTTCTCTTAGGACTGCTTTCGCGTACCATAAGTAAAGACTTCTCCTACTACAAAATCATAAGTCATTATAATACTTAAACTGCATGAACAGTCAGCACTAATCATAATACATACTGACACTTGACTTGTATCTACGTGCGTTTTTTAAGCCATTTACATGATCTGTGTGAGTGGGGAGCAAAAGAAGGACTCAACAGATTACGAAACATCTTGAAGGTACAAATTAATATTTGATATTAAATTATTAATTTTAAACGGTTCACCCCATCGTGTCGTGCATATTTGTGCTGCCCATGTACTTGACCAGTCACTTTGCCTAGCTCAGTAATGTTTTATTTTGATTTACATGTGATGTTAATAGGGGAATTTAATCTTTTAATAAAATACCTTAAATGTTGATTTTTCATTCCCTTGTTCATTCATCTGTAGCATTACAGCAGAGAAACAGCAGCACTGTTAATAGAGCAGACAGAGGCAAGCCATCTGGGTGAGAAGCATAAGTCATTTGTTACTCTTTAACAATCATAATAATGTATTCTTTTCATGGAGAAATGTTAAATGGCCCTTACCACGGTACTGTGCACGTACGACTTTTAATGACACTGAAAGGTTCACTGGTAGATTTTTAACCGAAAAAAATCGCACAAGTCGGAAGCAGGCACCCCATGGGATAATTTGCAATTTTCCATGCTTCTTTATATAAACACCTTTTTTTGTCTTTGGAAACCTCATTTCCCTCCTTTGACCCTTTGTAGGAAATGAGCTGCTTTGTACATACTTCCCCTTTTGAACGTAAACATTTTGCGATGTAAATCTTGGCATAAATATTACAAAATATGCTGTGATAACTCTCCACAAATGATTAATAATTTCTTGAGTACCGTGACTAGTTAGCTCTCATGGTTCCCACAAGATCGGTAGAAAAGGATTGTCCTGACCTAATTGTGTAGAAGAGTGTAATAGGCCATTGGATGTCTTCATGCCAACAAATATTAATTGTAAGAAAATAGGGCATTCTTAGGATGAGGCACGCGGTATTCGTGTAGGTTGTCAAAGCACCTTTAAAATGTTTTTGTCTCTGTGTTATTTCAGAGCGGTTTCCTTCTCTTCTCACAGTTGGTCGGAGTGTAGTGAGCAACTTCCTTCACAATATTGACATGTAAGTTCTAAGTGATGTTTTCTTTATGGCAACTATAGTGTAAATGAGG